CCCTGTGCAGTGAGGTGGGTTGCAGGGGTGCCATGAGGGACGGTGTGGGGGATGGGAGAGCATCGACTTGGCAAGTGGCTGTTCTTAAGGGGGCCCCCCCAGGAGGTGGTGGGGACCTACTGAGTCATAGTGCGGATGCTCTGGGGTAGCCCCGGGGAATCGGGTTTTTTGGGGGGGGTGAGTTGGTGAGACTGTGAGTCATGGCCTGGGGTCTGCAGGGAAACCACAAAGTGGTTTCAATAAAAAGTGTCCCAGACAAGCTTTGGCCCCCAATCTATTGTCAGGACAGACAACAAGGGAATCTTCTCCTCGTCCCGCAGGAATAGTCTGCCCCTTGGCACAAAAATCCTGTATAAACCCTCATCCAGCACATGGACACTGCTGGGTCCAGATATCCCCCCCTCCCCCTCCCCCTCCCTGACGCTATCATGTTAATAGAGAACAAGTGTTGTGCTGGTCTGAGACCATCAGAAAGGGGGCAGGTGAGAGGGAAGGGCGCAGAACATCACAAAAAGCAACAGCCCCATAGCAGGATCCAGCCAACTTCTGGCCGTGAACCTCCTGCCAATTCTCCTGTCTCATGGGATAAGAAATATGACCGCACGCAGTGCACCCTCCAGCGCCAGACCCTGGCTCTCGTTGGCCGTATCCAGCTGTCTTATATTTCAACCACGTGTATGAGACTCCGAAGAGGCTGTTTGTTCTATTGCATTCAGTGGCAACAGACGGGGGCGGGGGGGGGGAAGAGATCTTATTTAACAATAATAATACAAAGTGGTGGTGATTTTTTAATCCCAAACTAAAATTTACAATTGCAAATTTCCTTCTGGAAAGTTTTGTAAAAATGACACTTTCCTACCCCAAACCCCCCCAAAAAACAAAAATACATTAATTTTGGACCATTTCGATCATTTTTTGGCTGGGAAACACAGTGATCAAAAATATGTCAAGCCGTTCTACTGGAGTGGGTGTTTGGGCCAGTGGGCTGTGCATTGAGGGAAGTCGTCTCTGCAGCTGTCGTCTCTGGGTTGTGTTTTCCTGGGGGAGCGCTCCTTGCCCTAAGGGAAGGGCTGTCGGGGGGTGGGGGTGAGGGGGGTTGTGCATTTTGAAAGCAGCTTTTGAGTAAGCCAGTAAGGAGTTAAGAGAAGTCACTGCATGTGTGGCCTCTTTCCAGTTTATTTGCTCCCTTGTCTACACTGGCACTTACAGCGCTGCAACTTTCTGTGAAAACGCACCTCCCCGATGGATGCTATTCCCCTCGTGGAAGTGTTTTTTGTTAATATAGCACTGGGACACGTCTCTGCCAGGGTTGGTGCCATGACTACACAGCCACGTTAAAGCAAAAGATTGTTACAAGATTGTTACTGCTCATAGAAAATTCTCTTTTTAGAATCTGGCCACATATTTCCTTTCCAGTCCTGGGAATTGCAGCTGTGTAGAAGAACTTAATAGCTAGTTAGTGGATGGGAGGGGGGCATGATATGAGAAGACTCAGTAGCATTGTTGAAGGCAATGTGTGTGTGTGGGGGGGAGGGGGC